TCCGTATCTGTTTAAAAAAAAAAAAAAAAAAAAAGGAAAACTAAGAAAATGGATGTTTTTTTAGTTTTTCTTTTGCTTACAAAAGAACGAAAAGAAAAAAAAGAGATTTTCGCTTGATTTTTGTTTTTTGGTTTAGGGTAGGAAAACAAATACACCACTTTAAAATTCATTATACACATGTAGGCAGTGCTGAAATGCCCTTTTCCTCTGAGCAGAACCTGGTTTGCATGATTGCTTAATAATTAATATTTTGTACTTTGTTTTTTTTATTGTTAATTTTTTTTTAATAGTTGTTAGCAGGACCAGAATAAGAACACATTGGGTTATATTAAAGGATACCATTTGTTTTTCTTTAATTTCCTCCTATTATATATATATATATATATATATATATATATATATATATATATATATATATATATATATATATATATATATATAAAACTATTATTTGGAGGGTGATGTCACATGCTCAGATTTAGTTGTCCAATCAGAGAAAAAAAGGGCGTTTCAGCACCGCCTATGCGGATAATGAATTTTAAAGTCATTCATCCGTTTTCCTACCCTAAAACAAAAGTCGAGCAAAAATCTCTTTTTTTAATTTTGTTTTGTGTCATTTTTGTCATTGTCATTTGTTTAAAAACGGATATGAAATGGACAAAGATCCCCTGATTAATAAGAATGATAAGTTTTAATTTCATGGTAAAGTCTGTTTATTTGTGCCTAAATAATTGTTTTCGTGAGTATGCAACATTTTCACCATCTGTGAGCCTACATGTCTGGCATGTCTGTAATCAGTTATCTATTTTAAGGCTTTGTGCGTAACATTCGGCCTCCTACACTCGATGTTCATTGACTTTATCCTGTTACACATTCTCAAACAGGGGCACAGACGACTTCTGTCTCAATTACTCAAAGCCACGGGCGGCATAAAGACTGTGTGTGTGTGTATGTGTGTGTGCGTCTGACTCGTGGTCATGGCGCTTCTAGATGACAGACGATGGAGGAAATCCCTCAGCATGGCAATCTGTCAGATTAAAGCGTCCGCCTGCTGCAGACGGGCGAGGGAAGTCAGTGGGGACAGATTGTGTGGGAGGAATTGGAAGAGGGGGGGAGTGATTGGTGGATTCCTACACTCATTGCTCTCTCTCTCTCTCTCTTTCAGGCATTTTTCATATTTCTGTTCTATTCTAATGGCACAATTATTATCTTTTTTACTTTTATTGTTTGGTTGAATCACTAATGCTTGTATTTTTCCTCATTCACTTGGGATGAATGAATGCATCCAGGGTAATTTTTCGTATTGAGAGAGGCTGGTTTTATTTAGGGTAATCAAACATTTACTGGCGCTGGCTGGATCATAAAACTGCAGAAGATTTTAAGGTGTGATTTATAGTATGTGATTCCATTTAAAGACATTAAGAAGAGAGTAGGGTGGATATTTGTAACAAGAAAATATAAACAATATCCAGCAATAATTTCTCTAATTACAAGTGTAATTTGGATAAATTATTGCTGTGGAATTATTTAATCATTCTTTTATTCTCCCTCATGTGATTGTAAAACATTATTAGTTTCTTTCTTCCGTTGAACATGAAATAATAGGATATTTTGAAGAATGCTGGTTGCTGTCATTCATCGACTTACAGTTGTAGGAGAAACATCATTGAGTGACAGCTACCAGCATTTTTCAGAATATATTATTTTGTGTTTAACCGAAGATAAAACTTGTGTGGGTTTTGAACAAATGAAGGGTGACTAAATCATGACAGAATTTTGAAGATATAACACTGTTTCTGATTCAAGTAGCCTGTCATAAGAGTTGCTTGTTTTTTGGGTCCCATGACATGGAAATTAATATTTTTTTATATAAAATTCAATTCTGTCTTTCTGACCTCTGGAAATGATCTATAAATGGAGCCTGGCGTCAAATATTTGAAGATTCCTTGACAAATATTTGAGTCTGTGGAATTAAAGGTGAATTCACAAGCCAGTTTCACTGTCAATAAGGAAGACGTGCTTTGTGTGCCAATATGTATGTTGCACAGTTGCATCATCTATAAATCATGGATTTTCACAGATGAATCTTTCTCCTCGAGAATAGCAATGTGTGATCAAGTAAATAGTTTACATTTTGATATCATGAAGACTTTAGGAAAAACGTATAAACTTTTTGCTCAATGCACAACTGCATCATCTATAAATCATGGATTTTGTTTTAAGGTGCTGTATGTAAATTTTTCACTCTTCTAAAACATAAAAATACCATAATATGTTGCAGATATTTAAGAAACGTTCCAAGTGAACATTCTTGTTTATTTGAAAAACAATGCTGAAGTCAGATATTCTGCTTTGAAAAGGTATGTTATGTGCCGAAATGATGTCTTTGTTTTGTTTCTTTTAACCCACACAATGGCACTTTAGTCAATTATATTTCAGCAGCCTGGGTTGCCTTGTTGGAAAACAGCGTACTTCATTCATTCATTCATTCATTCATTCATTCATTCAGAAAGGTTCTCAAAGCATGTGCCCGTGAATGAAACCTCTGGTGGACAGTAGCAGACTCCGAAATGAGATGCAGATTCAGTTCCACATGAGCAAATAATATAAATATTATAAACATAAACATTCAGTGAGCAGGTGACATTGTAACCGCGTGTCAAAACAACACATTACGTGAGGAGATACACAGTGATGCACAATTTAAATTCAGCCAATCAGAAGCACAGAATATACACTCACTCATGAAATGGTAAGGTTTATAATCTAATTAATACATTTTAAACCTCTTTAACATTATTAAATGTAGCTGCTGAATCACTCATATGTGTTGGTTCATTATTTCCCAGTTCTAAAGTTAAATTTTAAACAGTTAATTTATTTTCAAGCTCTGAGGTAAACTGTCTGCTGCTGCTTTCAGTAGTATGGCATTCAAACATACATTATTAGCATTTAACACTGAATAAAGCATATGTGGTGTACCTGAGGTGAACATTGTCAGTTAATCCGGTTGTTCACCGGTTAGAAACAGAAGCCATTTCTAATATGTCAATTCGACGTGTTGGTTATGACAAAAACTCCTTTTAATATGAAAAATATTTCTTCTATCCTGTGCTTTTATTTGGAACACGATTGGTCATCTGGCAACCTGCGCTTGCATTTGTTTTGATTCAGGATTGCAACACCTAGTTCAACCACTGGGTGTCAAATTTATATAAAAGTAGCTGATCCCAAAGTGACACCTCCATCTTTTACTCGCCTTCATATTGCTTTAAAAATGTCATCAATCTTTTCATAAATAATATATTTTTAATAAACCACATTGGATTTATGTCCCTTCATTGAAAGTCTGCTTATCCAAAACTGTGACTTTTTAAAACATTCATAAAAAGATCCACAAGTGAATGTCTTCTGAATTTATTCTAGTTTTGAAATGACATGAAGATGAGTAAGTAATAGATGTTTTAAATGTTTGCTAAACATTTTGATAATCCAGATCAGTTCTCAGCCTTTTCCCCCTATGTACATAAATAAAAATTTGAGGGTCACCATATACTTTACTACCTTAATACCATGCAAAAAAGTAGCATATCTATAAGATTCCTATAATGTTTACTATGAAAAACAGTAAATTGACATTAATAAAGACATGACATGCACAACAAATAACTAATATGATTTGTGGAGCTGTGCATCGATGGATTTGCTTTTTAGTGTTTGGACTTTCAGCTGTGAAATTTAAACCACACTGAACTGAACTAAACTGAACTTTATCTCTGAAAACTGGACTGACACAGAATTTACTAGAACTATGTTAAGCTGCTTCGACACAATCTACATTGTAAAAGTGCTGTAGAAATAAACAAAACATAAATATGACTTGATATATTTTTAAATGAAAATGATATTCCATTACTCCTATAATATATTTAGTACAACATTATTATAATAAACTAAACATTTCAACAAATATTTCTCTTTTCTGACACAATACCATGGTTACTGCCAATGTTACTACAGTAAACCATGGTAAATTCTGATGATTTGTTGATTCTAACTGGATTGTTGTTACACAGGTGTTTCTGCATCAGCTGTGGAGAATGATCCCGCTCTGATTAATTTGACTTTAAAGTCGTTTATTGTGATCGTAAAGTGTCTTGTGATCGTAACTGTTCAATGTAGTAAATACAGTACATTTACTTTAGCTCACATTGTGCTTTCTATATTTTTTTTTGAGCTGAGCTGATTAAAGAAATCAAACAACGTGTGTTTCACTTCTTGCATGTTTGCTATTTGATATATAAATTTATCATGCATAAGAATGCTAATGCTTTTCTGTTAGACAGATTGGTTGAACCGGTGCAATCTCTAAGAAAATTTAGTTTGACAGCCAGAAAAACTCCAATAACTCTGGTAGACTATACTGTCAATTACATCTTTAACGATAGTTTAATTTATTATAATATTTTACACACACTTATTAGTGAAGTATTTTATATTGACCCCTAGGCAGATCATCTTCTGAACTCCCCTCTGTGAACTATGGCGCCCCCCTTGGTCCCCTGTGGATCAACATTCACAGATGAATTGTTTCCTCAATAATGGCAATGCGTGCTAACAAAGTAAATAGTTTACATTTTAATTTCATGAAGACTTTAGGCAAAACATATACACTTGCACAGTTAAGCAGAACAAACTCGCTAACCAAAAGAGCTCATTTTTAATTAATACTAAAAGAAAAAAAAACATTAAATGCAAGAGTTCAACAAAGCCAAAGAATTGCCCTTCATAGTGATGCAATTAACTGTGCTTTTGAACTTTGCTTTTTTTCATTTCTAAACTAATTAGACCTTAACATGAACGGATAAGAAATATATGCAAATGCAGCAGCTTCTTATCATGCATATTCCATTATAAAAACATGCTTGCATAAGTTACTGCTAATTGTGTGTTTTGGTGTGAAAATCTCTCCGTTTTCTCTGTCCCCTATCTTATTTCAGTGTGTATCTATGTGAATAAGCAAGTGAACACGGGTCCTAACCTGGACAGGCAGAAGGTGTTGCAGCTGCCGGATCATCTGGGTCCTGCCAGGCCCTCAGTGGTGCTGCAGCAGGCGGTTCAGGGCTGCATTGACAGTGCATTTCAGCAGAAGGCCGTCTTCACGCTACTCACTGAGGGCTACGGGGGAGAAAAGATCTCAGGTTCATTTGCATGACAACACAAATGTGTATGTTAGGGTTAGGATTTTCATTCTGATGTCCGATGTAGATGTTAGAATTTTTATATGCACTACATTTGTATTAATACATTTATTATTTTTTTATTTATATTTTTATTATTATTATATCATTTATATTATTATTTATTTTCTACTGCAAGGATGTTTTTACTTGTTTTACTTGTGACATCTGCAATGTAACAGAAGGTTTATTTCATATAACTGAATTAGAATATTTAGAATTGTCTACTGAATAAACAGTTTCTTCAAAATGTATCAGTTTCTTCAAAATGGTTTAGCTGCAGAGCTGTTTTTAACATTGATAATAATGCAGTTGTTTTTTTTTACCACCAAATAATCAAATTTAAATAATTTCTAAAGAGTCATGTTAATTAATTGTTAATTTTAGTTTGTATGACACAAATCATTTACTTTTTTTTTTTTCTAGGATATTTGACTATATTTGTAAATATTTGATATATATCCAGCCTGATCTCACAAGGAAACTATTTTATGGATTGTCAGTTTAGTGGCTAATTTGTACAAATTTGTAAGATTTTAAAAAGAAGGCATGGCACCCAAAAATCGAAAAAGATTTGTTTGGCAATATTTTGCATGAATTATATGTATTATATTTCTATTGCCAAAGATGTTTAGTGACTGAAATATTATTATTTAATAAATATATCTGTTTAATTAATCTGTTTTTTATTCAAATGCATCAAAATGTTACAAAATGTAAATTAATTACCTTCTGCATATTCATTGAGAAATGGATAGAAATTATTTTAAACAATTCAAAATGGTGATGTATTTGAATGTTATTTTATTTATGTGAATATAGACTAAATGATGATAAGATAATGTTTAATAATATTTTGGTGAAGGTTTTGAAACTTTAAAGCAGACATTAGTTGAATTTAATATGCTTTCTCTGTATATCTACAATTCTCTTTTGTAAATTATGCCGAAATCAGAATAGGACCTATGCATATATTAGCATTTTACATCTGCATCAGCTATTATACAAACATTTATTCAAGCATGTAGAAAAGTTCTACTGTAAAGCTGTGATTTGAACTTGGATTTAAATGCTCCTTGTTGCTCTTCATCAGCCACTTTTGATGGTAAACAGCATCTGTTGAGTTTGCCGGTGGTCAACAGCGTGGGCTACGTTCTGCGTTTCCTCAAGAAGTTGTGCCGAAGCCTGTTATGTGAGAACCTGTTCAGTGACCAGCCCATAGCTCCTTCATCATCCCCCTCATCCTCTTCCTCATTCCACATGGAGAAGCACTCAGACGGACAGTCCAAGTCAAGTGAGTCCTGCTTTTCCACAGTTAGTGTACAGTATTAGTTTTCAAAACTAGAGCTTATTTGCACAGTAGAAATTCAACTGTATACACTTCCAGTCAAGAGTTTCAGAGCAGTTTGTTAATATTTTTTTCAGTCTCTTCTGCTCGCAAATACATTTATTTGTTCCTAAGAACACCTAAAACAGTAACATTTTACAATAAGTTTTCTATTTAAATATATTTTAAAATCTTATTTCCGTGATTTACAGCTAATTTTAGCATAATTACTCCAGTTAAATGATCCTTAAGAACTAATTTTAGTTTATTAATCCATTATTAATATTGCTGTTGTTACCAGTATTTATTAACACTTGATTTTTTTTTAGGATTCTTTGTTAATTAATCGATTCAAATATCAGCCTTTCTCTTTTTTCATATTGTTCAAAAAACCTTTGACTGCTTGTGTTTATTAGCATGTTACTGTTTTCGTCTGGTTTTGGTTTAAATATTTAGTGATTTGGCTATTTGATTAGAGTTCCACTGTTTTCTATTGTCATCCAATTTGCCCTTATGAAAATGCAGAGGAGGCCTTTAGTGCAAGCTGAGCTGTTGAAGTGGCAGTGAAAGGTTGAGTGCTTCTGTGAGTGGCCTGTGCTTTGAGTGTTTCAGTTCTGTTGGCTCTCTCTCTCTCTTTCTCTCTCTCTTTCTCTCTCTCTTTCTCTCTCTCTCTCTCTCTCTCTCTCCTGATTGTGGTTTGGGAGCTCTAGAGATTAGAGCGTTAACTTCACTATGACACAATATCACACTGCTCAGCTGCATAGGCAAAGGTTTTGTCAGGACTTAAACCTATGTCAATGGGTAACATGGTTTGGAGAGGAAAACCTATGCCAGTTGGTAACATGGTAAGGAGAGGAAAACAGTTTAGATAGAGCCTACATTAAATGATAACATTGTATATGTATATCAGACATTTACCCTGTAAGCAACATCACATAACTCATCCCATAAAAATTCATTATAAAAATGTAAAAACTTGTTGGTAATATAATTAAGTAATTGATTACAATTTTTAAAAATATTTTATCATATGTAAACTTAATTGAATCAAAGTTTTACAGTTCTGTCTTCATTTATTTGCCTTAGTTGTTCACTTTTTTTTTAAGTAACACTTTATTTTGATGGTCTCTATTGCACATGTTGTTGACTAAAACTTGATTGCAGCTACATGCCAATTAATTTTTATTTGAGTATTGAGACATTTGAGACTGTCTACTTAATATCTGCTGATACTGCATTTGATTGTAAAAAAAAAACAAAAAACTTGCAAGCACTGTACATGTCAACCTACACTTACCCTAACCCCAACCTAACAGTCTACTTATAATCTAATAAGAATTAGTTGGCATGTAGATGCAATGTAACTAAAATTCCACAAAACGTGTTAAGTGTCAGAATATATTCTGAAGAATGCATGGCAACCACAGTTTCTGGTCCTCACTGACTTTTTTTGTCATATTCATTAAAATATATTTCTTTTTATTCAGTAGAGGCAAGAAACTTAGGCAGTTTTGTTAGACTTTGGAGGCGAGTAAATTAGAATAAGTATCTTTTGGTGAATTACCCCTTTAAGTTTCAAGAAGTCCACTGACATTTTGAGCATCTGACAAAGCATTTCATCCAAAAAGTTTATTCAGTGAAGAATTTGTGGGAGGTTCTTTAAGCTGTGCATTTGTGCTCTTAATATTCATTCTTCAGAACCAGACTAGCCATTCTCTAGGCTTGCTTTTGAGTGAACAATAAAACAGAAAGACATGCTTTATTTGCATTTAGTCTGTAAACGTTAGGGTTGCTGAGCAAATTAAATGTTCAGTCTGATTAATTAATGATAATGTTAATCTCACATTAATTATGGTTGAGTCATTTATTCATTCAAATGTCTGATTCATTCAGGAATGAGTAAACAGCTTCCTTAATAAGTGACGCATTGAATTATTGCTGAATCACTCGATTTGTTTAAAATGTGGACTTAGTCAGAAATGAAACTCCACTTAATCAGAAATATATTTAATATAAAAATATATTTATGAAATAGAAAAAATGGAAAATGCAAAAATAAACAAAAACAAACAAGATTATGTTCAAATACAATGTTAAATTATTGATCTGCTGTACAATTAACCAACATATTTAGGCTTGCTATTCAGGAAAAAATCAACTGCTCTAGTAATGCAGCTTTTAATGTGTACAAAAAAACTTCCATTCATTTTTAAATAAATAGTCAATTCAATAAAAACGACAGCCCTTGTATGTACATCATTTGGTTTGTACCAATGCATGCAGGTTTGTTTCAAAAAAGCTCTAGTGAGCCAAATGTAGCTTTTTTTACCCTAAATTGTGGTTCTTTCTGTTCATCAGACTCAATGGTGGATGATTACCATGGTGATTCAGTGGAGCCCAAACGCTATTCGGTTGATCCCAGTGATTTTGGTGCGATGTCCTCACCATACGCAGCCAGTAAACCTGCATATGGCTTTCGCTCTGCCTCTGCCTATTCTGGAGGAATCTGCAGACAGGCAGCCAGTCCCAGCACATTTCCAGAAGGAAACAGAAGTGGTAAGAAAGATGATACTTACACGTATTTAAAGTTTTCAATGACTAGAAATACTTACTGTATGTGAGAAGATACTGAATGTAATGTAAATATAATGTGTACTTGTATATTGTGTATGGCCATACACCCAAAGTGCTTCACAATCATGAGGGAGGAGGTCTGTCCACACTACCATCATTGTGCATCATCCAGTTGGATGATGCGACGGCTGCCACAGGACAGTGATGCCAGTGCACTCATCACACACCAGCTATTGGGGTAGTGGAGAGACATTGATAGAGATCTGATGGAGAGATGGGGATTATTGGGAGGCCACGATGGAGGGAATTTGGCACCTACTCTTTACAAGAAGTGCCATGGGATTTTTAATGACCACAGAGAGTCAGGACCTCGCTTTAACGTCTCATCTGAAAGATGGCACTCACTGACAGTATAGTGTCCCCTTAGTTTTACTGGAGCATTAGGACTCGCAGTCTGCAGCACCCCCTGCTGGCCTTACTAACACCAATTTCAACAGCAACCTAGTTTTCCTATGTGGTCTCCCATCCAGGTACTGACCAGGCTTAGCTTCAGTAAGTAACTGGTCTTGGGCTGCTGGGTGAAATGGCAGTATATGGCAGAGCCAGTTATATAGAGATATACAATATCCTCCAGGGGTTTGGGACCTTAGACTTAAACTTCAAATGAGGTCTCTGGACAACTTACATTCAAAAAATTACCTTTGCCTCTTGTTAAAACTACTCATTTAATATGGGGTGAACTAAAACAATTTTTACATGTTTTTTTTGGGAAAACTTAGTCATTTTTACAAATTTAAGTGGGTTGAACATAAAACAATTAAGGTAACGTAATGAATTTGTGTAGGGGCAACAAAGAAACTGTGTGGAACCCTGAATTTTTTTACACTGCAGGGTGATTTCAACTTCAAGGACTTCACCTTAAGGGGATTTTTTTTCACCATTCTGAATTGTGTTCCACTCTTTATATGGAAACTTTAAATGGATACACCATTGATCTCTTGATTTTGATAAGTGTACTTTAGTTGTGCTTAAGTTATTTCAGACCACACTTAAACCACAATGTAACACAGTTGTGACATCACTGCAGATCGCTTGTTACATGTTATTAAGTTGGATGAGACGTAACATTCAGTGAGTTTCTAATGGTGCTGGGTGAAAATGAGAACCCACAACTACTGGATAAGTGAAACATAAATTAACAACTTATCAAACAGAGCATATAAAACAACAAGTATTTGAATTTAGAATGATTCAGAATTAAATTTTTTGAATAACCAAATTAAATGGAAAAAACAGGAGTGTCGCCAACATTAACAAAACGATTCAACTAAACTCCAAACCACTAAACTAACTAACCAAAGAAAAATGCAGAAACAAAACCATAATCTTCAGCGTATGCGACGCTTAACTAAACTTCCTACTAAATTGAGCTGCACAAGCTTATCTAATAAATAGATCACTCAAACGAGAGAGACTAAACTACACAGCGAAAACAACAAAACTATACAAACAAAAATGAACAGGCTGGCCGACACAAGTGAGGAGTTTGGTGGTGAGCCAAGCGCTCCTGTTAAACAGTGCAATATTTTATACTTGGCGGACCAGCTCCTGATTGGTCATATTGATCATAATGGTGACTGACAGCTTTTTTGACCAATGGTTGCACACCTAGAACAGGACAGAATACACAACGGAAGAAAAAAAGAGAATGCAAAACAGAAAACAAACAACAAAACACCACAAAACAAACGTGAAACGTAACACTTTTAATGTATGCTTACCTAAAAAAAAAACTAAATATATATATATATATATATATATATATATATATATATATATATGTGTGTGTGTGTGTGTGTGTGTGTGTGTGTGTGTATATATATATATATATATATATATATATATATATATATATATATATAAGAAAAATAGCCCTCTAAAAATAACCCAAGTATTCCTGTTGATGTTCTTAATAGAGGTGACTAAATTTGAAAGGGCAAAAAAAGTCAATATTAAGTCAGATTTATAAGTATCCGAAATGGGTTTTTCGGTAACATAATCAACAATATACATTCGAGTCCATGAGACAGAGGGAAGTATTTCTTGAATTATAGAATGCATCACTAAACATAAAGTAAACCCTGGTTTCTCTCTGTCTAGCCTACAGTCCGTCCCCAGACGCAGGAGAGGTGAAGCCTCCACCCAGTAAGGATCCGTCCAGGTGGAGTGTGGATGAAGTGGTGTGGTTTATCAAGGATGCAGATCCCCAAGCGCTGGGCCCTCACGTTGAGCTCTTCAGAAAACATGTGAGTTTCACCGCCACCTTTATTTACAGCTGAAAAACAAACACCATATGTTGAACATGTTGCTGGATATCCAATCTCTATGCAAGCTTAGTTTTGAGTTACAAAAACCCTGGCTATTATCAGCTGTGTGTTTCAAGCGTTTGAAGATTACCTAACTACTGAAACAACCACCGAATTATAATTGTACATCATCTACTGGAATAGAATGTACTTTGCTAATGAAGTCTGCATAATTAGAAGAATTTAAATCAGAATCGTGATGAGGCCTAATGCATTATTCAAGTGCAAAAGTCTGTGATTTAATTAAATATGAAGGTATGTCCATCTCACTAAGTGCTCTGATTATTGAGGTTGTATGTTTTGTTCTTCTGAATTTGAAATCACTGCACTTATGCAATAAGTGAATAAGTGAAAACACAGAGGGAGATCATTATTACTCACACATGCAGCCTAAGTTTCAGAGTGTGAGTAAACTAGAGCTAAAGCATAACGTAATTACTGTTGGTACCATTACTGTTTAATCCAGTGTGGATTGGACTCTGCTTCAACACTGCTCACAAATATTGCAACAGTATTTATTATTGCATTTTTTGTGCCTGATTTTTATGTAGCTTTATTTCAAATCAAAGTTAAACTAATATTTTATCACATCTGAAAATTTACCTGCCTTAAATATAGTTTATCAGCCATAAAACTTTGTGCTTTTTTTAAATAAATGGGCAGAACAAATTTATTTAAATGTATTAAAAGTTTCAAATGCAATGAAATTGATGCATAAATATAATCTTTGTTTTATTAAACTGCTACTAATATGCAAACATAATAATAAAAATAATGGTATTATTATTAATATATCATTATTGTTTGTTTGTTTTTAACTGCAAAATCTAAAACTAATTTTTAAGCTTATTGGCCATAGACAAAGATATGGACGTAGTATTTGTGACGTCACCCATAGGTTTCTGAAGAACGTAAATGAAGCAACAAGTAGGCATGACCAACAGTCGCCATTTTTTTTCATGCATCATCGCACCCACCGGAGTGACAAACACCTGCCAGCATTTTGCTTAGGCTTTTCTTTGGGAGAAATGCTAAATACTTCATTATCCGCGACTCGTTTGTGTTCTGACCACTTGTGCTTGGTTGAACACCATATCAATAACGTGTTTACACTTAAAAAAAAAACACTGCTGTAATACATTGAGCCACTAAACATTGTTCTTATGATGTTTTTCTATGGGAGGAAAACGCAAATTACTTCCAAACACTTCAAATACAGTCTGTGTTAGTAAATGCAAGGCTCTATTTATGAAATCCAGGCATAACACTGTATATTTCAGATGACTGTTTTATAGCCTACAACTAAATCTGTCAGATTCTGGAGGGCATTACAGGTTTAAAGACAATGATAAATGATCTTAAGTAAAACAAATACATTTATAGAGATGGTATATAAGTATATAGTTTCACTTATCTGGAAAATGGAGGCAACTTGAACGATTTCTGAGCACAGTTAAGTGTACACAGCATGCCATATCATCTGTATATTGTAGGAAATAATTCTAAAAGGCAACTGACTGTGTAAAGAAACATAAAACAAAACAAAAATATGATGTATTTGACGAGACCTAGCTGTCACTCAAGTGGCCAAGCACTTAATTATGCAGACTTGATATAACTTAAAACTTATTAAAAATGAAACGGATGAGTTAAAGAAAAATTCACCCCTGCTTACAGTTGTCATAAGCTAAATGCACCAAAGGCATCTTTTGTACCAGGCTGTAAACATGTTTTTATCAGCTGTAAAATTGGCCAATTTACCTTTGCAGTCAGAAATCACCTGGATTTCCTGAAGCCAGCCCCCCAAGACGACTCGATGAATTTTATTTTGGTGGAATACTGCTGAGAAACCTATTTATTCATTTATTGATTTTTTTTATTATTGTCTTTTGTTGATAACAACTTTATTACAAACTTTGTAAGATATTTAGCCCATGTTGCATTTTCAAATGCAAATTTACTGTCTGAAATTTGCTGCATTTACAAGCCTCTCTAAAATCACTATTATGTTATCGAGCTGATAAATCTTAAGATCTAGTACTACACGTCAGATTAAATATTTATTCATTTCCAGGACAGTGTTTCTCAATTGACAAGCAATTTTTTCATAGATTGTTACTGGCCAGCTGAGACTTTTTATTCTGTTTTTGCAAGTGTTGATTTGAGGCACAAAGCGTCTCTAATGTTTGCTCTGTGCACAACAGAAAGCTTACTGTACACGCCATCACACTATTGCTTTACATTGTGCTTTACCTCTTCAGGAGATTGATGGCGATGCTCTACTCCTCCTGAAAAGTGACATGATCATGAAGTACCTGGGACTCAAACTGGGCCCTGCTCTCAAGCTCTGTTACCACATCGACAAGCTCAAACAAAACAAGTTCTGACCGTCTCTGACCCTACAGATGGACTGACTCTTAGTATTTAGGCTCACTCACGTTTGTTGTAGTACAGGATGTTTTCATCCCTTATTCTCTGGTCATTCGAGGACAAGCACCAGAATTTTTTTTTCTGCCAGTACATTGGGACATTTCACCGGCCAGAACGTTTCCTTTTTCTAATTTTTAAGTGTACAAACATTTTATCGATTCCTGAACATTTACTCAAGTCATCTCTGCTGCTTTCTGGGATTTTTGGATTCCTCAAGTGAGAGATGTGTAAATCATGCGTCAAACGGACGGAGCTGTAACATATTTTAGGTCTCATTTTTTTTACAGAGGAATGGACTCTGTCTAAAACCCTGTGAACTTCAGCCACCTGCTGGTATAAAGGAGTCACTGCAGGCAGGAATCATTTCAGCTTTTTATTTTCAGAAAGCTATTTGACAACCGAGGAGATCACTTACACACAGCATTCAGCATTGTTTTCGTTTCTTTAACGGATACGCACACAATCTTGGCAGGGTACAACTATGAACCATTACACTTTTGCAACCAGCAAATAACAGGCACAAATTCACCTCTGATGGACCAGTCACAATTTCTCTGGAAAGCCTCCCGGAATCAGAACTAAACACAATACACTACTGCTACTGTTCAAGCACAGCATTACAAACATTAGTAATGCACACCAGGTGCTGTTCCTTAACCAGCAAGTCAACAACAACAACAACTATACCGGTACTTTTTGTTTCATACTGTGGACCAAATACATGGAAAGGTCTCATTACTCTCAAAACACTTTGTTTTCCTTTGTTTTTCATGATTGAAAAGCTGCTTTGATACTACAAATGTCAGCTTGTGAATTACTTACACAATATGTAGCACTTTACAATAGGGTTCCATTCGTTTAATACATTGTGTATCATGAACCAGCAATGTACTGTATATTAATGAAGGTTAATGATCATTTTTATTATATACTACTGTTTAAAAGCTTGGGGTCAGAAGATAATTTATTGAGATGGGGTGCATTTAATTATTATAAGTGACAGAAGAAAAAATGAACAATTATTTAAAATAAATTCAGTTTTTATTCATCAAGGAAAGGGAACACAGGGCCATTAAAGACTTGATAAATAGCTGCTTAAAAATTATACATAAAAATTGTAATAATATTATTACTATTTTAATTTATTTTTGATCAAATAAACACGGCCTTGGTGAGAATAAGAGACTTTCAGAAACATATTGTGGACCCAATATTCAAAACAGCTTCAAATATTTCAAAAGATGAATAATAACATCATTAATTAGGGATGCTCTGATCGATTGGCCCGGAGATCGGTATCGGCCGATAATCATGTTTCAGGACTCGATCGGTGCTCGCTGATCTGGCCGATCTCATGGACCACAAGTGTTTTGTTTATGAGTAAACAAGCATAGGAAGAGGCACGAACACAGCTGTATTTTATACACCATCAGTGCTAAAAACAGGAGGAGGTAAAAGATGTGTGAAGCCATGAGTGATCGGTGCGCTCACATCACAACAGCTAAATAAATTATATACAGATGTGGTGTGACCTCTGTTTTCACAGTTAATTGGCAAGACTCGTGCGAGGTCTCTTTTTTGCAGACCATTGTATATCCAGTGTTTTGAGCTGCTGTGAGGGGAGCTGAGTGATCGCTTTGACATGATATTCTCTTAGGTAAGGAGAAATTTCCACTTAAGTTTCACACTTGGGGAAATGTGCTTTATGCAATACAAAGCTTAAAGCATCAGAATCGGTACTCAGTATCGGCAAATCACCATGACAAAAAATCGGGACTCTGTACTGGCTACAAAAATCCTGATCAGCGCATCCCTAAAATTAATGAGAATCTATGAGTGCACAATGGTATATTTAGAAATTACCATTACATGTATAAATGCTGTGAATGATTTCATTCATTGTTAGTTCATTATACTTGATGCATTTACACATATAAAAGGATTGAACTTTATTGTATTGACATGTTTAAAATCATCTTTATGTTATGTACATTGCTCTGATTTGGTCAAACTTGCATTTTGGCCTTTGTGGATTAGATGTTTTTTTTTTTTTTTTTTTTTTTTTAGAAAATAACAGTGTGAACATGAACACAAGCTGTTTTCTTTACTGCAGCTTACTCTCACATGCCATGAAATAATAAAAAAATTAGAGTAATATTTTTCTCCTGGAGCATTTCAGGAGTCATCAAATTGTATTTTAATTTATTTTAATATTATTTTAGAAATTACATTGCTGTATTAATTTATCGGGTGAACTTAAAGGACTTTTTCATCCAAAAAATTTAAACATTCTGTGATCATTTATTCACTGTGTTGTTCCAAACCTGTATGGCTTGTATAAATGAGCTTTCATTCCATATACACACACACAAAAGTCACACAGAGTTAAAACAACACAAAAGTGAGTGTAAACCATGCAATCTGATGACCAGAATGACTTTTTTGGGGTAACTAGCCCTTTAAGTCTATCCTGATGTCCTAAAGTGAATTACACCCAAGTGTATGACTTCTCTGTATCTGCAATCACGTGTAAATACGACAATTCATGTTGTGACGAATAAAGTAACACAATCCCACACATCCAGCTTTAACATGCAATCAGCTAGACCTCAGCTTTAACCTGTATTTGCTGTGCTAGACTTCATTGTTGTACAATCTGCCTGTTCAAGCCACTGCAATGCTAACTTGAGCATCTGTACAGATTCATTGTCTATACTTTCGCATCAGGGAGGCTGTTTGAGTGGTCTGATTTTTTTTTTATCTTCCTCTTTTCTCTTCCTCTCCGACCCCCCCCCCCCCCCCCCCTCTCTCTCTCTCTCTCTCCATGTAGCACCGATTGTCCTGGGTAATAGCTTTCTCAATGAAAAATGCGCAAGTGGAGAATCATAAAAAATTTTGGCACCAGAAAGTAATAAAGGGAATTAATCAGTGCGCTCTTAAATCTGGTGCCACATTTAGAGGTCAGGGTTCTTTAAAAGTGAATCTACTGATCCAAAAAACAAAACAAAAATGCAGTATTTCTTAAAAAAAAAAAAAAATCTCTTCTGATGCAAGGATTTAAACACAAATGTCCTAAAATGATAGAATAATTATCCATGTGTGATGTTCATCCTCTTGTATTAGCTTTAACCCTTTATTGGGAACTCATTGGAAACACCCTAGAGGGTTACGGAGTTATTACAAGACTTTTGAACATTTATGACTTTATGTTACTATATGTGATATTAAGTTACTATATGTGATCCTGTACTACAAAATCATACAGAAAATACATTGTTCATTCATTCATTGATTTTCTTTTCAGCTTAGTCCCTTTATCAATCAGGCAATGCCAAAGCAGAATGAATCGCCAACTTATCTAGCATGTGTTTTACGCAGTGGATCCCCTTCGAGTCAAAACTCAACAATGGGAAAAAATACATTGTATGAGTCAAAATTATTTTATTTTTTTGTCAAAAGTATAGATGATCTTCCATAAAGATGTATTTTTTTATTTATTTTTTTTTACTTTGGTTTTATGCATATTTAAAAAAAACAAATATTAGTAATATGCATTCAGGGGCGGATTTTGTGAGTTGGGGGCCTTAAACATTTCTGGCCATGGGGCCCAAAAGTTCTAAAATGCACTTTTTGTACTGTAATTAATTTTTAAATTGAATTGAATTTTTTTTCTTTCTTGTATCACTCAATCTCCTTTTCTACGTATTGTCTTAATGCACAATAATAATAACAACATGTAAAGCATCTTTGAAAACTTTATAAATGATTTGTTTTCTAAAACTGAATTCACAATTAAAAATGATTTACAGACAACTTTGTTTTTAAAACTAAATCTTTACCTAATCATTGAGAGTGGTGGACACACTTGTGTTTTGCAATGTAATAAACATTAAACTTTTATTTTTTTAGATTCTTATAATACGAAATATGATAGAAGCTGATATTATATATAATTTGTACTTCTAGGTACAGTTAAAAATTTAATTATTAAACCCCATTTGAAATGTTTTTCTTTTTTAAATATTTCTCAAATGATGTTCAGCAGAGCAAGGAAGATTTCACAGTATGTCTGATAATATTTTTTCTTCTGGAGAAAGTCTTATTTGTTGTATTTTGGCTAAAAAGGTCATTTTAAGGTCAAAATTATTATTTTAGGCTCTATTTATTTTCTATTGTCTACAGAACAAACCATCATTATACAATAACTTGCCTAATTACCCTAACCTGACTAGTTAACCTAAATAACCTAGTTAAGCCTTTAAATGTCACTTTAAACTGTATAGAAGTGTCTTGAAAAATATCTAGTCAAATATTATTTACAGTCATCATGGCAAAGACAAAATAAATCAGTTATTAGAAATGAGTTAATAAAATATTATCCCCCCCTCCCATTTTTTATTTAACGGAGAGATTTCTTCAAGTGTATTTATTTGGTGGCTCTGAGATTTCCTGGGGCCCTAAGCAGCCGCTTACCTTGTTTATGGGTGAAATCCGCCCCTGTCTGCATTGCTAAGAGCTAAATTTGGACAACTTTAAAGTAATTTTTTTTTTCTAATATTACATTTTTTTCAGAATCCATAATTTAAAGTAGTTGCATCTCTGCAAAATATGATCCTATAAGAACAAACTATACAGTGTATCAACTAAAAGACTATTTATATGATGTATCAAACTCAGTCTCTAAAAATGGACCCTTATGACTGGCTTTGTGGTCCAGGATCACATATATGGTTCTAAGCACTGTGCTTTTAAAAATGTTTGCGAGCACTTCTTTCTATGGCTGCACTTAACTGAACTCTACTTCAAGTAGGAAGCCTTGACACTTTCATAAGTCTTTAACAATATTTGGACCGTTTATGACCTCACGCAGATATTCTGCAGATGTTCCTGGCTGGATGTGGCCCGTGTTGGTCAGGAATATCAGAGTGTTTTAAGGCATAATCTGTTTTTCTGTGCATTTCAGGTCTGCGTTTGCCTCCGCATCAAGTCATAACTCGTCATGTTTTTTTTTTTAATATAATGGAAACTGTAAGTGTACATTTATGAATGCTGCTCTTCATGAACGTCCCATGCAAGGTTGTTTAAATTTGTTAGCTCACAAGAGTTTTAATGGGAAAAGAGGGACTTCGACACGGACCATTCATGTTGGTGCTATAATATGACTGTATTTAATGAATGATATGATTTTGCTTTATTTCTTCGGATAGGCTTCAGTGTTGTGCACTCTTGTGACTGACGACAGGTCGCGTGTCTGTTTGTGAGGCTAATATAAAGCATTATGAAAGAGTCAGAATAAAGCATTATGAACGCCTTTAAACTGTATTTGTGCTTGTGTGTGACTTTCATTAAGTATATTGCTGTTTATATTTTCTGTACCTCTGGTGAAGGACACAACACACACACACACACACACACACAAATGTTGCATCATGTTCAGTGTGTTCACTTGGAAACTTTCAAAATAAAAGCTTTTCTGCACTTTTAGAAAGTTCTAATACCTTCCCATTTATCAATTCTTGCCTTGTAAAGCAACAATAGTTTTCAAAATACTTTAGTGCAAAATACTTTATTTTAAACTGTACACAATTTACTATGTGTATTCAATGAAAAAGATGTCATAGTGTGACTTTGTGTCACAGCAGGAGACCAAAAAAAAAAAAAAAAAAATTCCTCACTTGTTTAAAACCTATTTGAGTTTCTTCACACAATATAAATATATAAAGATATTCACCTGCTTGTAATGTTATCACTCGATTAAATGGTATCAGCGGTTATCAGCTGATGGATATAGGCCAGTAGGGGCCTTCTGCGCATACTGGTAGACTCAGAAGCCTGTTTTAACATTACTGTGATGGTTGGGTGTAGGGTTGTCGTAGATATTTACATAATATGGGAAATTTAATAAATAATATAATTCTTGTAAACTTCCGGCCATAGCCATATGTGAACTATAGCTGATTAACCCTATGGATGAATGATAACAGCAGAAGGCCCCTACTGGATCATATCTATCAGCTGATAACCACTGATAATGCCCATTCTATTGAGCGATAACATTTGAACCGACTGAAATTTAAAAAATGTTGAATTAACGTCTTAATATATTTTGCTCCTATACTATGGGTGCCGATGCTGGTTTCCAACATTTGTGTTCAACAAGAAAGAGTTTAACAAGAAAGAATTTAATTTAAAAAGTGTAGAACAACATGAGAGTGTGAAAATGGTGAGGAAATGTTAATTTTTGGGTGAACTGTCCATTTAAGAAGAAGAAGAAGAAGGTAAAATAAAACTGGCCATCAACTGAGAAAGGGGAGATCAAATGCGTTATTTGGGATCAACGAGAAGGTATGGAAGACTAGTTCTATCTATCTATCTATCTATCTATCTATCTATCTATCTATCTATCTATCTATCTATCTATCTATCTGTCTGTCTGTCTGTCTGTCTGTCTGTCTGTCTGTCTGTCAGTCTGTCTGTCTGTCTGTCTGTCTGTCTGTCTGTCTGTCTGTCTGTCTGTCAGTCTGTCTGTCTGTCTGTCTGTCTATCTATCTATTTATCTGTCTGTCTATCTGTCTGTCTAATTATCTATCTATCTATAGATGTCAATGTCTATGCAGTTAAATTAACTGTCTATGTCTATATTTACAAGTATGTCTATGTAGTTAATTGTAACCATACAATTAATATATGAATCAAGTTGGCATAAAATTATTAAATAGTTTAATTCCATGAATGATTTAACATTTATGTAATACATTTCAAATTGTCGAAATGTGTCGACTCAAATTTGAATGAAATTCACAATTCTGCTTATTATACAGTTGAAGTCAGAATTATTATCCCCCTGAATTATTAGCCTCTCTCCTTATTTTTTCTTAAATTTCTGTTTAACTGAGGAAAGATGTTTTTTCAACACATTTCAAAACATAATAGTTTTAATAACTCATCTCTAATAACTAATCTATTTTATCTTTGCCATGATTACAGTAAATAATATTTGACTAGATATTAATCAAGACACTTCTATATTAGTCAGATTAGGTTAGATTAATCATTGTACTGTATGACGATGGTTTGTTCTGGAGAGAATCAAAAAATATATAGCTTATAGGGCCAATAATATTGACCTGAAAATGGCTTTTAAAAAATTAAAACCTGATTTTATTCTAGCAAAAATAAACAAATAAGAAGAAAAATATTGTTAGACATTGTGTGAATTTTTTTTTGCTCTGTTAAATATAATTTGGGAAATATTTATAAAAATTCATATAATAAAAAAATTCGAATAATAATGACTTCAACTGTATGTATAAAATATGCTCATATATGCTGCATGCTTTCCTGTTGTGCTGTGATTACGGTCTTTTACATATAGGTGGCACTGTTGTATCTTAAATGTGCTGTATGTAAAAAGAGCCGAAACGCAACATGGGTTATTCATCATCCTACACTCCCTCCCCTATAGGTAAATATTGAAAAGTTACAGAAAACACCCCTGGTGTATCTCAAAACTACATTTATTACTGAAAACAAGACCACCCAACTCGTTTAAAAGACGGGGAACTCAATAGTTGCAATCAGATTTTATGCAATTATTTAACATAGAATTTAAATCCATTCACACTGGTTGATAACTAAAAGCTTTTAGTCATGGATATTTTCTGCTTATTTCTTTTTATATTCACCTGCTGTCTTCAAGGCATGGAGTGCCAAATAAAGTATGCACATCACGAGCACTGGTTTCTGTTGTTTTTTTCTTCACTTTTTTTTTATTTCTGTCTGTTTATTTTGGGTCTGTTATTCTGATGGCATCAAAATGCACCACGCACCAGGAAAAGATTACAGAAAATCAGACAGGTCAGACTCGCTCTATTGTTTTTCAACCTGGAGTGTCGTCAGAATACAGATTCAACACAAATGAATGTGCTGAAGGGGGAGAAAACAAAAAGCTTCTCAAGGCCACTGAAGAGAATATGCAACAACTGAACACCAAAACAGCATTTCTACATAAAAAGCAAAACATATGTGCCACTGGACAAGTGTTACTGGACAACAGCAAAAAAGCAGTTCTCTAGAGGAATATTGGGCAAGGAGAATTATAATGTTCCCTCTTGTGTAAAATGTAAGCATTGCCTCAAATACAATAAAGTAATGTGGAAACTGGGAATTGTTCGAAATCTTGCATGTTAATTAAGTGGGCTGTGTGTGTGTGTGTGTGTGCGTTTTGCATGTTTTATGTTCAATACTATTTTTCCATTTCTTGTAAATTTCAGCTTAGTTTTTTCTTTTTTTCATTAAGTTTTCATTTTGTGAATGCATTTCTATTTAGTTTTTTTTCTATATTTAATTTTAGTAATTGTAGTTTAGCAGAGTTAACAGAACACCAAACAACGTTTAATGTTTGCACAGTTTACATTAACTCTTGTGGAAACATCTAAATTGTAAAAACAATTTAATATTAAGTTATTTATTTAATAATGATTGAACTCAAAAACATACAAATTCAGGTTAAATGATCAAATTGAACTATAATGAAGAACCAATCAATCGATTGATTGGTCAGTCGGTCGGTCGGTCGGTCGGTCTGTCTGTCTGTCTATCTATCTATTTATCTGTGTCAATTTATTCATTTGATCTGTTGCTTTATCTATCATTCATTCTATATCTGCAAACTTTATTTTTCTAGAAGTTGTTTGGATTTCTTAGAAACAGTTTAAGCCTGTTTTTGAAGGAATTGAGTTGGAATTTAAAACGAACTGAGATCAATTCTAAATAGTGCTCAGCTGTGTTTTACACTGTGACTGCAATACATA